ATTTACGCGGAAGCGGTTTGTGCCTGAAGTGGAACAAAACATCAGGGCACCTTGTTCTCCCACGGACGTTAATCGACGGCGGATCCTCGTAGATCAGCACTTGTCCTTAACCTGACATGAAGCTCATTGAGCGATAATCTTTTCTAGTAAATACAGTTTAGCGGTATTAGTGTCACAACAGCACTATGTCTCTGGCGGCGGAGGCTTTCGTGTCGCAGATGGCAGGTAATGTGTTAACTTTCGCGTTTTTATGTTCGCCTTAACTTTAGCTTACGAGCTAACCGGTGACAGCATCTTAGAACTACTAATATTACTTAGTAAGACGATAGTATACCAGCGAATAAAGGCATTTGACAAAAACTAAGGCAAAATGCAGGTGTATTGTTTGAAAATTAATTACGTTACTAAAAAAAATGAAAATGGGATTTTAAGTAGCAGCCAGCTGCTGCTAGCAAGTGCACTGACTGAACAGAATTCATTAGCATTGGGACATTTAACATCAATACGCATTTCTTTTACAAGTATTTCACAGATCTTTAAGATGGTGGTGGTCAAACGTCCAAGGAGTGCATGTTTGATCAAGTTCATTTCCATGTCAGATTGTAGTTTTATGTTTATAACCTTTGTTGAACCAGGAAAGACGCTTTGATTCAACCCCCTTTTACAAGAGAGTGACCTCCAATACAGGTAGCAGCTCAAACCAGCACTACATTACAGCACACACACATACTAAAAAGTTTAGACATCACAGAAAAATGCAATAAACTAAGAAGTCAGATGATAGTTTGTATAGCAGTTCTCAGTGTCTGTAACAAATAATTACATTCAGATGTTTGTGAATGCAACATGTTGGTTGAAATTCACTCAGTGAGATTAGTTTCTTTACTCGGTTTAGGAACGGATTCTCGCATAATTTCCACAAAGTGGCACACTATTTGAACTCCTTTTCCCCTGAATCTCTATGAACTATTGGTAGAACAAGTCTTGTAAAGGAACACTGTAGCCTCGTGCATTTTTTTCTGAAGGACTTAGGTCTGAAGATAAAATGGAAGAAACCCAAGGATAGCTTTTTAAGTGAGAATGCACTTATGATTTGATCTACAAAGGGACAAGCAGACCATCCAACATAAGAGTACATCATACAACGATGAGTCAGAGTTTTAAAGTTTGTAATGAGCCTGAATGGATCAGCTTCATGGTAGATTGTATCGAGCATGTAAGCATTGTGAAGATGCATGCAGCTATATTACATCTAGCTAATTTCAAAAATACATATATGTAGCAGCAATTCAAACACAAGATTTGAATCTAAAGAAGAAACTGGTTTAGCTTTTTTAATCAACAGCTGAATGTGAGATTTGAAGAAGAGAGTCATTAGTCAGAAGTCTTATTTATGTTCAGAAACTAACACACTCTTTGAGCTCTGAAAAGTATTAAACATTTAAGGGCTTATTTAGAGTTGGAGAACAACACAAGTTTTTTTTTTTTTTTTAGTTTTCAAAGCAAGTTTGGAGTTGCCCAGATGCTCAGAGAGCGAGAGAGAAAAATGATGATCGTCAGGAAAATGTATTTTCTCTCTTAAATGAACTTGTTAGCACAGCTTGAGTTAGTAAAGTTGCTTCTGAACCAACCACCTCACAAGACTTCTGGAACCACGTTCTTTGAACAGACACAACCAAAATGGAGATGCTTGGTTATAATGTCGGACTGCAGGTTTGGATAAAAAAAAAAAAAAACAATAGAGAAAATATATTGGTAAAAATACCTCCTACCTGTTGTCAAACATGGTGTTGGAAGGGTGATGGTTTTGACTTGCTTTGCAGCAGCATGACCTGTGCACCTTACAAGCACAGAGTGTACCAGTGGTGTAGTCTACATTTTTGTAGTAGGTATACCACGGTAAATTTAGTTTTACGTTGGACACCGCTGAAGCCACGGAGCGTGAATGTCCGACATCCAACGTAAAGCTACCGTGGTCAGTCCGTATACTGTGCTTAAAAACCAAAGTACACTGGTTAGTACAATGTAATCATCAATGTATTTTGATTTTTAAGCATATTGAACATTTCCAAATTTCTCTGATGCTTATATTTGAATAAATGAACAACAATCTTTGTACAACAGTTGGCTTTGTATTAAAACATTTAATAGAATTTATTAAACGGTGCCAAAGCAAAACATGTTCAAGTATTAAGTATCGAATTTTACAATAATTCTCTGGATAAACGAATGTAGTAAACAAGCACTGCATGCCGATAGGTTGTTACGGATGCGTTTAACTGACATTTAATGTATCAATGACATGTGCCTAATGATATGTCATTTACCATTGGGCACTTTTAAGTGGGTATACTGAAATTCTTAAGCTTTTCTAGTGGGTGTACTCCATATACCCGCGTATCACGTATTAGAATACACTACTGGAGTGTACCAAAAACCGTCATACCAAAGTGTTTTTGAGTCAAATGTGAGGTCATCTTTCCAACGTCTGAAGGATTGACCATCGTGAGTCATATAACAATACAATGATCCCAAGAAAATGCACAATAGAATGACTGAATAGGATTACACACAAGTTGTTGCACAGATCCAAATTGTAGATATCAGCCTATACCACTTTCAGTAAAATGAAAGTGTTGCAAAGAAGAGTGGGCTAAAATTCCTCCACAACAAGAATAAGAGAGTCACTTGGATGATGACCTGAAGTTGTTGCTGGTTTTAGAAGTCATGGTTGTACTATGTTTTTACACACTGCATTTTGAATTAGTTTCATCCATCCATGCATTATCTTTTACCGCTTCTTCCTTTTTGGGTTGTGGGGGTCACTGGTTCCCATATTTATCAGTCACTGTGCGAGAGGTGGGGGACAGGTCTCCAGTCCATCACAGGGACACGTAGAGACAAACGAGACAAACAACCATTCACTCTCTCACTCACACCTAGAGACAATTCAGAGTTACCACTCAGCCTAACATGCATGTTTTTGGTCTGTGGGAGTAAACCGGAATACCCGGAGAAAACCCACACATGCACGGAGAGAACATGCAAACTCCACCCAGAAAGGTCTCGACCAGGATTTGATCTAGCAACCTTTTCGCTGCGAGGCAAAACCTGTACCAACTGAGCCACCTGAATTAGTTTTAGTTAAATAAATGAATACTCCGTGTAATACGTGTTCATTTATTTTAAGACATGACATTAATTAGACAAGTTATCTGTTTTATTATTTCTCTACGAGGAAATCAGCAACTTTTTTTTTTATTGTGGGCATGTTTGTTTTTGACACCGACAGCTGCTGAGCCTTGGCCTGAAAATGCCACCTTATACCAACCACTGAAGGGTAAGTCAGACTTTTGTAGAAATAAATAAGTTCCCCTTTTGCCTGGTGATGATGTGGCTGATACATCCCTTTGTTTTACCAGAGGATCAGATTCTGCTCTCAGATCACGCCTCGTCTCTTGCAGTTCAGGTAAAGTTTGCTTTGTGTTTCCTAAACACAAAATGTTTACATATTTATTCCGTGTGGAACTGTATTTTTTCATGCAGTGCATACTTGTTTGTGTCAGGAAGTGTGGGCAACGAGGAGAGTGATCGTTTTAGTTTGAAAGTTGCTCTTTCTAAAGATTTTTAAAATTGATTTAAAACAATGAATATTAGATTCATATTACGGTAGTATTCTCAATTGTAGATTTCTTAGTTTTATATAATTTGAAGTAATTGTATTGTGTTTTTTTTACCAATAAACACCATTTTGGTGCTTTTTTAAACAGAGTGTTAATAGTTTCTGTAGCAAATGTCCTGTTTCTCCTCTGCAGGCCTACCTCAGGATGTGCGCTCTCCCAGTGCAGGTGGTTTGCAGAGCAAACGCTGAATTTATGTCACCATCAGGTCAGTCGAAATGCTGCTGCAGACAAATGTATTCTGTCTTTTTGTTGTTGTTGTTTTCAGTTTTATCGCCAGAGGTGACTCTTCCTCCTAGTCTGAATTTAACAAAATTATTTCACACATACAATAATTCATTTTTGATTTTGTTCACACAGATTTGATCCTTCTTTTGGTGTGTTTTGAAGCACATTCGCTGCTCTTTAAAAGGCCGTTATGAATAAATTAAGATATTAATGCCATAACTTAGTCTGGTTTAGAAAAAGTCAGCCTTAACCTCCTAAGACCCAAACTCTTGCATGACATGCATTATTAATGCCTATAATGTCCACATATATGTGGGTGCCAGGTTGTCTATAGGTTGTCTATATATGTGGGTGCCAGGTCCTAGGAGGTTTAAATTATTTTGCTCTTTTTTCTCCCCCTTATAGGTAAAATTCCCTTCATTCATGTTGGGAACCAGGTGGTTTCAGAACTGGGGCCCATTGTGCAATTCACCAAAGCAAAGGTGATACTTCACATTTAACAGCTGGACTTTTGCTTTGAAATGTTTAAAATAATTTTAGCGCCTGATCTCGTTAATTTTGTCGCAGTTTATCATGTTTAGCTCTGTTGAAGAAAAGACAAAAGATATTTAGTTATTTTCTGGTTGTCAGGGTCACTCTCTGAGCGACGGCTTGGATGATGTTCAGAGAGCTGAGATGAAAGCGTACATGGAGCTTGTTAACAACATGCTGCTGACTGCTGAGGTACAACAACACACTCATGCTAAACACACAATAAAAAGCTTTTTTTTTTAACTAAGGTTCTGTCTCATTTCTAGTTGTACATTCAGTGGTGTGATGATCCAACAGTTGCTGAAGTGGGTGTTCTTACTTTCAATTGTTTTTTTAGTTAATAGCTGTGAACATTTCAGCGTCTCATTCTTATTTCTTTCTTTCACATAGATTTCCCGCCCCAGATACAGCAGTCCGTACTCGTGGCCTCTCAGTAAAATCCTCGCCTATCAGAAGCAGTGGGAGATTCGCAGGAAGATGAACGCCGTCGGCTGGGGAGGGAAAACGCTTGAGCAGGTTAGCGATATCTCGGTGATAATTAGCCAGCACGTGAATTAAAATTGCTTTCAGTTACAGATTCTGTTTTGTTCTTTATTTTTGATCAATAAAAAATGTTTCAAACAGGAATTATAACAATAAATGTTGTTTTTCAGGCTTTTTTTTTTTGCTAAAATCCTAAAATATAATTGGGGTTTGAATAAAAGCTCTGTTTCACATCAGCTTTTCTGTTTTGATGTTTAACTTGTGTTTTAATTTTCCGTTTTAGGTCTATGAAGATGTGAGTCAGTGCTGCCAGGCTCTCTCTCAGAGGCTGGGGACGCAACCGTACTTTTTTAGCAAACAGTGCGTATTCCAAATATTTTACTGCTGCATGTCTGATGTGTTGGAAATGGCAGAGGAATCAAACAGCAGATGAGAAATTGCATGCAGGATGTTTTACTTGCAGCTCCTGCCAAAACCCAAGAATCTGGAGGCGTCACTTGAGCACCACCTTGTGGATAAATGTTGTTACCACATTTTAAACATCAAACGTTTTCCTCTAATTTAAAAGTGAAAAAAGAAGTAGGTTAAATGATTATTAAGTTTAAGAAAGTGTTTAGTTTTATATGAAGATGGCATGTTACATACATGTAATTTCCTGTAAATATAAATATTTGGTGTTTTTATTAGAGCATTATTAAATTAGATATGATGATGTTGGCCTAGTTTGTACTTTACCATCAAACTTTTTCTCCATCATTATACACCTCAGTTTAATTAAAGCAAAAGTAATTTCAGCGCACTTGACAACAAGTAAACATGTTCAGGTTCACTTAAATTTTGTCCAGTTCAATCAAAATTTATAACAAAATAATCCAGTTGAATCCAAATTATTATAGTCCAGATAGGTACAATCCAATTTAGTGTGATTAAAAAATGTCAACTGTATCTTCATTTTGATTTAATTCCTTTTCCTAGCATGTGCACTGCTGCCGTCCTCTGTTCTCTGCACAGCTTCACTGAACACGACTTCAGCTCAGTGCTTAACTTTACAAGTGCAGTGACACAGCACATTAGAGTTTATGGTGACTGCATCGGGTCCAATCGGCTCTAAAAACTATCAGAAAAAAACTTTAAACCAAAGAGAAACGTGCTGCAGTGTGTCCCAATAGCCCAACCTACAATTGATAAAATCCATACAAACCTATGTCCAGAGGACCAGATTTAACTTTTTTAGATTTTTCTACCTGGATTATTGAGCATGCATCAGGATACCATACAAACCTACTTTTTTTTAACAATGGACCCAGCAAACGAGTCAATAAGACATTTTAGCTAGAAAATAACAAAACAAACAAACAAAGCTGTATCTTCAGGATATTCTTAAGGATGTTTGGATAATTATCTTAAATCAGCCCACAGGTGAAGCAGACTTTTCTTGTAATCAATGAGACGTACATGTAATAACTCAGAAATCGTATCGGGTCAGTAGGTGGTCCTACAGTGTAGCTCTGGACAGACTGTTCAGACCAAAGTAATGCAGTTAAAAACACTCCAGACCACCTCTGAAAGAGAGTGAAGGTGTCTTCAGTGCTCATTAAGGGTCTTCACACCTGCATTTAGTGCTGTCTAAATGTAATCAAACCACCCAGGACAGATGTCTGTGCCAGGTCTGAACAAGGTCAGAGAAAGACCTCCAGCAGAACCAGATTCTGGATGATCAGCCGTCTGACTCGATCATTTGATACTGAGAGAGGACTAAACAGAGATGTAGAGGTCAAACACAAAAGCAATTATCTTTGATTATCTGTAGAAAGGATGAGGAAAACACAAAGTTACCAACCGCATTAATGGGTTACACTGACATAAGAAGTTCAGAGTGAGGGTAGAAGCTTAACGTGTTGCTGAACTTCCAGCCACAACGTAACGTCATCTCATTATAGCTGAAAGGATCGTTTAGGTCAGCTGAGGCTAAAAGCTTGATCAAAAATATAAAATTTAGGCCTGATCTAAAAAGTAGAGGGGCTCTCTGACTACCAACCTCAAACTGGGAACTGGTTTCACAAGAAATAGAATAACTAAAGGTTCTGTTCTACTTTTCAGAATCACCTGAGAGATGAGAGTTTTGTTTTGATAATTATCACTTTGAGACTCTTAGCATAAGATGGACGCTGGACCTTAAGAGCTTTATGTTTAAGTAGAACAATTTAAACTTTATTTTAGACTTTTGATAGGGAGTCGATGAAATGCTCGAGTCGAAAAAATATAATCTGAACTTTTATCTGAATCCTTGCTGCATTATTTTTGATCAATATGTAAACTTCTCAGTGTTTTTATTATCCCGATAACATCAAATGCCTAATCTGTCTAATGCCTAATGTCTAATCTGAAAGTAATAAATTACAGGTGTCCAAAGTGCGGCCCGAGGGCCATTTGCGGCCCTTGGAGTGATTTTGTGTGGCCCCCAACTGCAGTTTAAGAATGGTCTAATTTTATCTAGCAGGCTTAAGAGGTTAATGCAGACTTTCTGCAAATTTGTTGGTAATCCTTTATTATAATGTTCAGGTTTAACAGCAAAACAAATAAAAAACAGTCTTCTCAAAATGAGCAATGTTAAGCAAAATACAAACCTTTGGCTATAATCTTTTTATTTTCACTTCATGGTACAACACACCAAAAATCTTTACTGATTTCTACCAGAAAGGAGACTTTTGGATAAAGATTCATAAAACTTGGCTAAATGTTGCAGTTGATAAAATGATCAAGAGGGAAATTAAACATTTTAAAATGAATATAACGTGATATCATCAATACAAGTTGATCGACTTTATCAGTCCTTCTATGAATCTGTTGTAGCGACTGACAGCTGGACGATTTTTCAGAACTTGGATCAGCCTTTTGGGCGGTCCATGGTCCAATGGGCGGTTCGACCCCCTTTTAAAGGAACACTTACTCAAATTACACTTTTGTTGCTGAGAACAGACTAAAATGAACTTTTCAAACACAAGAAAACAACAAACACACACCCAACAAATCAATTAAATCAAATCCTTTTTAATAAAAAATATAAGCTTAGTGTTTGAGGCTTTTAATGTTTTGGATGTACAATTTAAAACTCTTTCTCCTCCATAATCAGTAAAAATGTGTCCTTTCTTCAAAATGTTCATGTGGCCCACGAGTCCGTTCATCTGGATAGTTTTGTCCCACATATGAAAACATTTGGACACCACTGTAATAAATGAATAGACTGTTAATTATTTATTATTATCACAGTTTGACTGTTTTTAGTTGTGGTATTGTGCATACGATAAAAGGAACATTTAGAAACTTTAAGTTGAAACAATACAAGTCAAAGTATAAAACAACAGAAACATGATGCTTCTGAGATATTATCAAAGATGATAACTTCAGATTTGTGTGAATTTTACATGAAGAAGTTAAGTTTGTTAACAAAGTAAGATATGATTTAATCTAAGTTAATATTTTAGTTCTTTCTCTAATTCATTACACATCAATAATAGTTATGTTGCAGCAGTAATGAACAGTGTGTATGTATGTGTGTGTGTGTTGTAGGCCTACTGAGCTGGACGCACTGGTCTTTGGTCACCTCTTCACCATACTGACCACCAGTCTGACCAGCAACGAGCTGGCAGAGAGGGTCAAGGGCTACAGCAACCTGCTGTCCTTCTGCAGGCGCATTGAGCAGACCTACTTTGAAGACAAGAGCTCTTTGAAGGACTGAGAAACGACATTATCTTGTACAGTCTGCATTTCCTTCTCTCATTCCTCTGATTTTAGCACGTAGCAGCTACAAATCTGCCCTGTTTGCTTTCTGCTTGCACAGACAAATACGACTCTTTCAGATTTAGGATGTCTAACCCTCATCTGAATAAATACGTCAGAGGTGGGAGTTGTTTAATATAATCCAAGTATCAGAATCCTATAAAATCTGTCCTTAAGGTAATTATCAGCATGAAAATTGTGTAAAACAAACTCAAAAAAGCTTGCAGGGTTTAAGCATCGGGGTTAAAGGCACATCCGCTTGAATGGTTGATGAAATGGAGGCATTTATTTATTGACACTGTACTTTTTTACAATTTGCGCTCTTTATTTTGCTGGAAATCAGTCCCAGTTTCCATCACTGCACTTTTTCAGTCTCGCACACACTTTGAAAAGTACGGATTTCCCAGCTGTGCAACATGACCGACTTTCAGAAGGCACAACTCCACTTGACCTCAGTTGGAGGTCAAATGGTCTGCATTTTTTTTTCCTCCTGGGACAGTTGTAAGCTTGTAAGAAATGCAAAACAGTCTTGGCATACGCAGCAAATCAAGAGCATTTTTAATGCACAAAAAACCTTGACGTAGTGATTTTATTTGAGTTTTTCCACATTGTGTTAAAAGTGCCTACAAAATACATTCAGACCCCAATAAAATGTTTCAACTTCAACACGTGTTTTTTCATGGTGGACTCGACCTTGATTAACAGTCGAAAACAGCTCAGAGTAAAAACAACATCTCCATGAAGTCTGCGTTCTGGTTTTGGAAGCACACACTTGAATGTGTGTTTCTGCCTCCAGGTCTCATACAAGCTCATTGGTGATGTCTGGTCACCTCCGACTGCCCTCCTGTTGACCAGGTTGTGTGTCTGTGGGACAGACGGGGTGAGCGTCTGTCTTCCAGGTTTCCTGTGAGGTCAGGGTTTGACCTGTGAACTTCCTGGAGCTGTGACATCATGAGCGATGACCCACACTGACCAAACGTGGCACAACTGGAGGTCAGCAGGCAGTTAACACACAGATCGATGCACATATCGCACATTTTAATCTTCATTCTTTCTTGATGTAATTACATTTTTTGTTTATAAATATATATTTGAAGTGGGTGTCTACATCATTACTGTGCAGAACATCTATTAATAAAAAAACATCTTGGAGGAGTGCCATTTGGAGCTTTTTTTATTATATGTTCTTCTGTTTTAATGAGTTTATTTTGCTTTTATTTGTTCTTGCTGCATATTAAATTCCGTGGCAGAGTTAGACTCATGCATGGGGTGGCATAAAGGTGGCCAAGGCTTTTCACACTTATAAATGAAGGAAACTTCTGTTTCTTAAAACCTAAACCTAAAGAATATACATTCTTGACACTTTTCAATATATTCAATTTCAATATATTTTTCTAGCTATCAGTCTCTTGCTTACACACACAAAGTTGTCATTGAACCCCTCTTTAGATTAAGAAGACTAATTAGAAATACTTCCAGCATACAGGAGCTCTGAGTGAAATACACTGGAGATTATGTTCTAAAATATTACTGTCTTTACAAACAGAATATACAAACCAACAATTTGGTCTAGTTTGGATGAATAAGTAGATTATTACTATTTAATTAAACTATGTTTTCTGTCATCTATTCTAATGCACATTGTTCAATGCTACAGGCTGTACATCAATCAACTGAGGCGGCCAATCAGGTTCCAGGGATTTCACTGTGGCATCCCTCTGGCTCAGCCCTTGAATAAATTAAAAAATATTCTATTATAAAAAAAATTTTTTCAAAGGCAACAAAGCTTTACACCCCCTTTTTTAATTTAACACTAGGGCCATTCCATTTAACCTCACTGTCCTTTATTATTAAATAGATTTTTTTGATATTATGGAGGTGTTTTTGTCTGTCGCTTTGGCGCATAAACTAATAACAGTGAATTTCTCAAATCAGTTAGTACAAACTGCAAAACATAGTTGAAAGCCTGCAAAAGTGTGTCATTTGCTCAAAATGGACAGCAAGTTTTCATGTCAATGACAGGTTCATTGTCATCAGGATGAAAAGTCCATACACCAGTGTTTATGAACAAGATAGTCAAATGGCTTTCTCATGTTCATTCTGACAGTTCACTCTATAAGTTTTTTCCAATGCAACAAAAAGTCAGATCTTAGATGCTCATGAAAGTACTCCAAACTGTTCACACAGCCATTTGAAATCTACAGTGACGTTACACGTTGCTGTATTTAGTGAGTTAAATGAGTACAGCACATTCATGTGTTTCACATTTTTACAGCTCTTTGCAGTTCTAACTTGTTCACAACATTGTGCAAAAGCAAAGTACAAACTTTTTTTTTTTTTTTTACAACGAACATGAGAAACACCCTTTGGGTAGAGATGTGCACAACTGTAAACAATATTTCAGTCCATAGTGGAACTGAATCAGAACATACGGCACACACAGGACTGTAAATTATTCTTGCACACCTGTCTGGCCACACATTTTCCTCAACATCCCAGCGAATATCATCGCTGGCAATGCAACAAGGAAAGTATCTCCTCGAGTGGAGGACCCTGCTGTGATGTCATCACATGCTGCATCCATGGCTGGCTGCTGGCAGGGCCATTTGGGTATGTGGATGCTGGTCATACCTTCCACTTCCAGGCGAAGAAAAATTCCTCTGTTTGTTTAAGGAATGGGGGATGTGAGTGGTGAAGATGTGCATTATCCCAAACAACAACACACGTGTTCAGATGATTATAACTAATGCTTCACACACTCCTCCTCATTGAAAGCTGAGATCCTAAATTGTTCACAATTTGTTGGAAGAAATGAGAAACTGCTACTATGATGTGCACAAATGACTAAATGATGTGGAGGTTGAACTAATAGTTGTGAGAATGTTACTTCTGATCAGAGAAATGCACCAAAGCAATTGAGAAAAACTGTAAAGATATTTTAATATTTCTTTCTGTAGCCTATTGGTCTGTTCTCCAACGGGTTATTTTACTACACAGCTTAAAGAAGTCCACTTTACTACATGTGCACAGTTGGAGAAACACAAATTTATTTAAGTTAATTTATGCGACTTTTTTTAAATTGTTAAGTTAAATCTCTATTTTTGAAACTACTAAATTAGAATAATGGTTGTATTCGTTCAGCTCTTTCTGCTTGTAGTAAGAGCATATTTCCAGTAGATGGCAGCATAAAATAAAGGAAAAACACTTGAAGCAATCTTTATGGATTATTAGTCTGCTCATTGTTGCAAATCTGGAATTAGATATAAACATTTGCTTTTTATTGTTTATAAAATTTGATGATATTAATCATTTAAATTTAATGACATTAACCATTGAAGGATTCTTCATAAAATGAAGAACATTATAGACAACCCTCAGCATCCTCTTCATCAAACTGTCATACAACAACAAAGTGTCTTCAGTCAGAGGCTTCTTCAAATCCGTTGTAAGACAGACACTACAAGAGATCCTTCCTGCCCACAGCCATCAGCATCTATAACAACTCTTTAATGAAACCAGGATGATGAGTTACAACAACATTTAATTTCCCTCTGGGATTAATAAAGTATTTTTGAATTTGAATTTGAATTAACACAGCATGGTGTCACACTGATTACCTTGTATATATATAAAAAAAAATTCTAAGCTCCTATTTTTATTTTTGATTTGTGCATCAGTGGGTCTCTGCCTCCTGTTGTGTTTGCTCTGGCTGAGTTGTTGTGTCTTGTAGTCCAGCTAGTCGCATTTGTCTTTATTTTTCCTCCAACATGCTGGAGCATGATGCAACTCAATGCAAAAACACTGGACAAAGCTGCAGGATTCTCTTTATGTTGGAGCTCAGGTTGTTCAGTTGCTTATTTTAAAAGATGGAGAAGAACAGTTGGGTTTTTTTTTTTTGAGTTAATAAACATTTATGGTTATGAAAGTAGCATTCCTTGAAGGAATGCATATTGCCCATCGCCTTTTGTCACCCATCAGAGTTGGATGTTGAGGATTGACTCTACTACCACACCAAATTTTAGCTGTTTTTAACATTTGACATTTATTATTGGAATCAACTTTACCTGTTAGCAAAATATTTCGTGAAGCACAAACTCTCAGAAAATAATCAGTTGTAATTGTAAGTAATCACATCTACAACAAAACCCCTTTTGAAGTCAGTCTAATTCAAGATGGCCACCACAGCTAATTAACATTACTCAACACAAAAATGTCTCTAACTCAAGTTTCATAGATACTGGGCTGCCGTTTGTTGTGGTAGTAGCTGAAAGTCAGTCACCACACTTTCAGTGAGGGCCACCACTTGTAAGATCTCTCACGTGACATCAACACATCTTCATCCAAAATGGCATTAACTTTATCCTTTCTCAGTAAAAGATAAACTTAATTTTAATTTAACACACTGGTGTGGATGGAGGCAGGTGATATGCATTCTGTCCAGGAATGCTGTGAATGTAATTGTATGAACAACAACCTGACAGTTATGACCATTTCTGCAAAGTTTGTCTGCAGTACACATCTTGATTGACTCCAAAAGTTAATCAGTTGTACGTTTTCCTAACAATATAGTTTCATTCAAATCTGTCCACTGGTTCTAAATAAAATTTTCTAGTAGACGGATTATAAAATCACCCACATTTCATGGAAGTGAGTGATAAATATATTATATTGCTGATCTTTCCTCACCAAATACTACTCTACTTTTTTATTTTCACCCTTCTTTTCATTTAAAGACAATAATCAGTTAATTAAAATACGTGTCAACCACATTTGTTTTCCTGGAAGACAAAATAAATTACAATTATGCTGTGCTATAGACAAACAGTTTGCAAATGAATCAAACAACAAGGGTTAATTGACCACTTTCTTTGACTTCACTTTCAGTTAAACAATAAAGAAGAAACATGGAGGTCTTCACTAAAAAGATTTTATGAAAGCTGTGCAGAAGATGGAGATTCTTGAGGTGAATTTAAGAAGTTTTTGTGGGCATGTAAGGAGCGTGAGAGTGATGTGGACTGTCAGATCAGACTGTGTCTGGAGGCTGGAAGTGAGTGATGATTCATTATGTGGACTCCGAGACAAAGTGAGCTAAAGAGGATTGTTTTCTGACTCACTTTAATTGCCTCTGCTGTGGGGGTGAACTCGTTTACGTATTCATTCGACGCACACGCTTTTAATTTGATCAAACCGATGCAATATGTCTTTGCTGCTGCTGATCCAGTTTGTGTCTAATCGCATTCACATAAACTGGATCAGCATGACTTCTGCTGTCAAAGCACAGAGGAAGCCTCGGTGCTTGGGGCACCTCAGGCAGGAAGAGACTGAGCTGCAGGCCCCGCGGGTCTGTGAGTCTGTAAACTGAGCTCGCACACAAAAGTCTGTGTGCATTACATCTTCATGACAAAGTCATCACACCCCTAAAAACAGATCCTTTTACTGAGGCTGAGCTGCTGACTCTGGAAAATGAAAAATGACAGAAAGCTCGATGTTCGGTGTGATTTCCCACCACTTTTCTGCAACTCTGTGCCAGTTCAGCACTGCAGGAAACCCTGCCCTTCTCCGCTCGTGCACATCCACTCACAGCAAGACAAGACTAACAGAAGACCCTGTACACAGGCAGACAAGAGGTTTCTCTCTTAAACACTGTAAATATTGCCTTTACTTCACATGAAGAAGAAAATCAAGCAGGCTAATAAATACAAAGCAGTTCATACACATTTTTTATTTTGTATAAATCTGGGGAAAAAAATCTAAAGAAAGGCATATCATTCATTGAATCAAAACAAATCACTCAGTGCTCTTCAAATATATGTTAAGGATGAATCTCAGCTACTACCACAGCAGCTTTTAGTCCAATATCTGAAAAGCTGACTTGATTTGCAGAAAATTATGTGTTTGCTAATGTCGATCAGCTGTTAATGTTCATTCAGTGACTCCTTTCTGAGAGTTTCATTAGACTTTATGCAGTGGTTCATGAGCTATTTTGCTAACAGACAGTGTTGACTCTAATAATC